ACTTTCATAATAAACTAGAATGATATATGTTTATTACAAATCAAAATGTTAAAATATATATTTTAAAAAATAATAAAGCATCTGATATATAATTATTTATCATCTTAAAAAAAAAAAAAAATTCATAACTCTTTTTTTACCATTTTGTCAAATTGTTATAGCGTTGAGGGTGATATGGTAGGGGATATGCAATGAATCATAATTAATTTAATGATTGAATAAACATCTTGCAAGTTTCATGCCAATAAAATATCTGTGGAAATTACCCTATTAGATCTTTAAATATTTTGGCTTAACAACTTGCAATAACAATCATAAATATGAATGCAGGCCATTATTTAAGGAAGTAAGAGGGTACAAATGAAAAGATTCAAAATTAACAAGGACACATGGCATTGTAGATAAAGGCGTTAGTTAGATCCAGTGACAGGACCCAAGGAGTGTGAGTTCAATACCTGGCTAAGGCGGTAGAGAACTTTGAGAGGGGAATTAACAGGAGATAACTGACATCCATTAGACATGGCACGTGGAACTAGAATAGTCTACCCCAGTGAGTGAAATAATAAAGAGTTCAGTTTGACATTCCAGCCACCTGAAAAAGGTCAGTGTATAACAGCCAAAACATTGTGATAAACATGGCAACAAAGATGAGGACAATAGCCTGAATAATGTAAATAGTGTACATAATACCTCATCTCAGAAATATAGACAGATAACTTAACAATGTTTTCCATTTCACTGATGCTGAGCATTATCATTGACCCCTATTATTTTCTCTTTTTGTTTTTCTCTTGTTATTATGTATGTTTTCTTTTCTCCCTAAAATCAAACACTATCTCTATATCTGTTTTCTATCCTCTTTCCTCACAGTCAAAAGGGAATGGTCTATTATTTATTTGGGACAATAGCAGAGTGTAGCATGCATACTAACTTACTAACAAGAACAAGCAGAATTTTTTTTTTTTTTTTTTTTTCTGATGCATATTTATTTTTAGTGCCAACATAAAAGAATTTTAAACAAATTGGAAGGTTTTATTAAGCTCTGTCCTTCACTTCATTAACATCTCTACCCCACCCACAATGCACTTGTGTGAGTACACCCCTTACCTGTCTACCCACACGCCTGCAGTAAAGCCAAACTTCTAGAAATGTGTTGATTTTTTTTTTTTTTTTTTTTTTTTTTTTCCCCCTCTCAGAAATTGCCCTTTGGAAACTTTTCTGGATCTCTTTTCTAACCCCCTCTCTTATTTCGGATCTACCAAGTGCATGTGGGACAGACTAGTGGGACACAATGAAGAGGGGAGGGCTTGCTACTCCTGCCACCTCACAACAATTACATTGTCCCCTCTTGTTTATACAGTCCCAATTATGGTGGCTTACCTATGGTGATTCCCCTTCCAGTAAGGAGGGTCTCCTGCCACTAACCCAATTACCATGTGCCAATCATTTCTCCTTACCCAGCCCCTTGGCCACATTCACTACTCTCTCTCTTAATTTCTTACCCAACTTCGACACAATCTTTTGTTTGTCACTTTGTTAGATGGCTGTTTTTGATAGATACTTCAGCTGCTATAATTGGATCAGGTCTTGGCTCACAAGATAGACCCAGTTATCATGCTGGGTTTAGGTTCAAACCTTGGAGCAAGTATAAGCAAGAATCCCCCCCCCCCTGATGGTTTTATAAAAATTCAGATTAACTTATTTTCTTTGCATAAGGAAATTATTCTCTAAAACCCATATAGATGTTAATGTGCCAATAAATGACTTTAAATAATTAATTGCCTTAAAGCCATGACAATTTTTCACTCCCTGTCATGCTTAAATTATTGTGCTGTCAGAAAATATTTTTTAAAACAAATTGTTTCATTATTAAATTCTTAAATTTTCTTATTCAAATTTCGGTCTTATTTCTGTTACATTTTATCAAATCACTTAAGCCGTCATAATATTCTGCAATCATTAAGCAACAAAGGACTGAAAAGGTAAACTCCAATGAGATTTAAGCTTAGAAATGATATGAACATTGTCATAAGAGTGCTACAAAGATTGAGAAAAAGAAACTATTCAAAGATTAATGACAATGCTTTATTCAGACAATTGAAAACTATTATAATCTCTACTATGTAAACAAGTAATTCAGACCATTGGTGATCATTACCATCTATTACTACTGGGTGTAAATAATTAATACAAGTAAGATGCAAGAAAAAGTAGATAAATCTTTGTCATCATTTTTTATTACTATTTCTTTGTTTATACTTAGTAATAATAGATGTAATAGTCTTCAGTTGTAAATGTTTTAGATTATTTTTTGTCATTAATTTCTTTACTCAGAAATTCAGGTAACTGAAGACTATTACATCTACTACTACTACTACTACTACATGTAAATAAGTGTGGAAAGTAAGATGCTAGAAAAAACGGTCACATTAATAAAGGTATTATACATTTGAGGAATTAGTATATTTTAAATAATAGGTCTTGAATTTTTTGATCTTAAGTTTTCTTTTAATGGGGGAAGAGTATTTCTTTTACAAAAGGAGATATTTGGGAAATCTGAGGTGCAGATTTATATTTTTGTAAGATTTGGTAGCAGTACTCTTTTAGCTAGCCTGAAGTGTGTGTGTATATATATATATATATATATATATATATATATATATATATATGATTTAAAATATGGTTTTTTTTCACTACACGGTTCTAACCATGTTTCAAAAATGAAAGCTAAAAGCCACAAATTTAATTTAATCACAAAATTAAATTCGTGGCTTTACCTTCCATTTTTGAAACATGATTAGAACTGTGTAGCGAAAAAACCATATTTTAAATCAATTAATTTATAATATTAATGCTCTGTAAATTTACATTGAGCACTATTTTGTGAAAATAAAAATATCTAAGAACACCGGATTATATATCTTGTTGTTTTTTTATTTATAATATACATATATATATATATATATATATATATATATATATATATATATATATATATATATATATATATATATATATATATATATATATATATATATATATATATATATATATATATATATATATATATATATATATATATATATATATATATAGTTCTAATCCTATAAAACTGACATTCATACTTCTGTGTATGAGTACTTGTTACAAAATAAAATCCTTACATTCACCTTGATATATCCATCAGAGAACAAACATGTCAACTAAGTTTTCCTTTTCTCTTTATATAAACATATATATAATGGATTCTACTGTCTGTTTTGACGTATGAGGATCTGACAGCTTACTCGATTCAGTTATGAAATTTTGTGCAATAATCTTAAATGGCATTTAAGACTCACTAGTGTTTTACAAAGGAGGCCACATATAGAGAAAGTGTGAAGATTGCGAGATGAGATCACTGTTAGATTGGCTGACCTTTTAGATCTTGCTCTTGCTTCTTGAAAATGATTCAGACAAGCAGATTGAAAGATATGTTTTGAATGAGTAGTTGTCATCAACTCAAATTATATGCAATATCTACTTTCTGAATTTGACAAAGAGGTCCACAGAGAAATATACCTTATCGTGCATCCAACCATCTTTTTATTTATTTATTTATTTATTTTTTTTTTTAAATTCTATCTCCTTCCTTCCAGAGCAAAAAAAATTGTGGCAATCTAGATTCCTTTTCTTTCTCTAAGACAGTAAAATAGTTTCCTGTTATGAATTCAGCAGAGTAGTCCTTCACTTAGACTGGCTGCCACCCAAGGCTAAACAACCTAGTCTACTCTGCTGTTTAACCCCTCAGAGACATTTGTTTAAAAATGAATGCAAAAGACTAGGTGATAACTTGAATTCTGCTTGTCAGTTTCACTTTCTGTGTTGATAGCCACTAAACTACCCACACATTTTTTTTTTTTTTTTTTTTTTTTAATTCATTTTTTAATTAATCCTGCTGGCCAAATAAGAAACTTAATTTTAAGCAGTTTTTAGTGGATAAAAATCAGACCTGCAACAGTACATTTTTTTTTTTATCGCAGTATTTTAGGTCTTCCATATTGTTGCATGTGGTCTACCCCAGTAATCTAGTTTGCATAAAAGCAATTTTCAAGCCTAATAGACAAAAAATATGCTTCATAAACAAATTTGAAAGATATCAATACTTAAATTTAAAAAAAAAATAGCTTGACTTTTTTTTTCTGTTGCATTTATTCATCCTCTAAGAGAATACCGAGTTTTATTGTAATATGTGGTCTTTCTCAGTTTGAGACCTGCCATATTGTTGCATGGGGTCTGTCTAAACATTTGAGTCATACATCTTCCTGTGAGTCATTGGTCCCGAGTGAAGCATTCAAACTAGATGGAAGTGAATAAAGAAATATATAAGACCTCATAAATAATAAAATGCTTGCCAAAGGATTTTGCCAAACTGTCATTTCAAGTGAAAAATGTGCATGCGCATTTCTGAAGGAGTGCAACCTCCTTAATACTGCGCAAGAAATGGAACTGTGCCATAAATGCAGTTCTGTTATGGAAGAAAGACGGAAGCATAACCAAAAAGGTGAATTTTAACTGGTTTTTAAGTGTTCACAAAAAAAGAGCCCTATTCAAACAGGAAAATCTTAAGGGAAAAAAAAGTCAATTTCTTTGCCTTTTTACAAGATGGACAAACTTTTTTCAAGCTGGAATATTTTAAATCTTTTTACTGATTTTTAAGAAATATTATTTTATAGGTATAAATTTATATATATATATATATATATATATATATATATATATATATATATATATATATATATATTTTTTTTTTTTTTTTTTTTTTTTTTTTTTTTTTTTTTTTTTTTTGAAATGATTTTACTGACACAAGTTCTACTAATTAATCCATAGTGTGGAGAAGTGGATTCATACCTTTCCTAAGGGTATTTGTATGTAAGTGAACGAACCCAACTGGAATTGGAACTTGACTCTCTGATTTCCAATTCTGAGCTATCATCCATTACACTACCCACACATTCAAGCTTACAGTACTTGGTATTCCCAAGTGGTCACCCATCTACGTACTAACCAGGCTCGATTTAGCTTAACTTCAGTGATCATATGAGAACCAGTGTTTCAACGTGATATAAGCCCTTAATTCTTTGACTCAATATTGAAAGCTAGCATTCATTGAATTAGAAACAATTGGGCTCTTAATCTTTCATAATTCTAGTCATTTTTTGTTTTTTTCTTTAGATCTTGCCCAATCCAAAAAGATCCCCTTAATAATAGATTATAGAATTTTTGCTGGCACATTCATGGGCTTCAGTTCAAAATGTAAATGGCCTTTCTTTTTTCTTTTCTTTCCTTCTGCTCTTGACAAAATTGCAAAATTTTACTTTTGTTTTTTCCGCTTTGGTCATTAAATACAGTGAACTAAGGTCAATGTAATTTCTTGACATCACTTAAGGACTAAGTGGCTTTACTTAAAACCTCTCAAAAAAAAAAAATGCATGACATTTACAATGTTAAAAACAACTGGAATTTTTTCATCTTCACAAAGGACAGAAAAATAAATTTACTTTTAAGTAATTTTTATACAAAAATCAGAAGAATATCCCAAAGATGTCTTCTCACCAGATTTATTTAAATCATTAATCCATAATTCTAAGAGGATTAGAAGACTGACCAAGAATTATTATTGGCAGACATAACTATAATAAAATACAAAGATTCAGGAGAAACACTAAAAGAACATTTTGGAAAAGGTAATTGATAAAGGCAAAAGATTAGGAACAATGAAATGCATGGTTGTCAATAATTGAAACAGTCATACATACATACATAGCAGTGTTTTTTTGTTTTTTTTTTTTTTTTTTTTTGTTGTTGTTGTTGAGGCAGGCCCAAGATTAATCTCTCACAAAGCAAGGTGAGTCCTACCTGACAGGTTTTATCATGATTTGAGGCAAGGTTTTACAAGGCCAAATGCTCTTCCTGACACTCAACTTTAACACTTACAGTAGTCCAAGTACTCATTGTTTTTATTGAGATGCTATCTCTAGGAAGTTTGCCATTCAATGCTTGAGACACCATCCTGGTCTTGTGTGTGTGTATATATATATATATATATATATATATATATATATATATATAATTTTCATACAAAAAACAAATACAAAGGTTAATGATTTAATTGGTGAGAAATCCATCTTAGCAAACAATTTAAATAATATACAAAAACCCGAACCTGTTTATGAATGAAAAGATCCTTGTTTTATAAATTTCAGTTGCATAAGTTCTTATTATTTTTACAAGCTTTCGTCTGTTCCTACAGACATCCTCAGGTATGGAATAGATTTTGTTCTTGTTTTTACTCTCAGTAATAAGAGGACAACGAAAATAGATTTATTGTAATCCGAAAAATGCTATGAGAAATGTTATTGTTTTGTAGCGTGCAGTCGCAACGCTGAGTTTGAATTTAAATTTTAAGGTTGTGCGTTCTTGTACAAATATAGTGATAAGAGAATTCTTTTTTACTAGTAAATTTTCCGTCAAAGTGGCATGAACTATATTGTTCAATAATTACAGTAATGTCGCACTTATTATCCGAAAGTTGCACTTGGATAAGTTATTTTAATTTCAATAAAGGTGCAATTAATTTACAAATTCATGAATTATTCATACAAAAAACAAATACAAAGGTTAATGATTTATTTGGCGAGAAATCCATCTTCGCAAACAATTCAAATAATATACAAAACCCCCGAACCGAATTTTTCGGATTACAATACATCTATTTTCGTTGTCCTCTTATTACTGAGAGTAAAAACAAGAACAAAATCTATTCCATACCTGAGGATGTCTGTAGGAACAGACGAAAGCTTGTAAAAATAATAACTTATGCAACTGAAATTTATAAAACAAGGATCTTTTCATTCATATACAGGTTCGGGGTTTTTGCATAATATTTAAAAGTAATCTTTTTCATATAATATTAACACTCTATTTTTAATATTAATATTTTAACACTATAGATATAAAAAAATATCTTCTGTTTCTTAAATCTTGTATATATTTATATATAGTCAGCAACTATTCATCCAAGTAAGTTAAAAACAACCAAGTTATTTATGTTTCATTTTTTTATTGTATCTTTCCAATTTTTAAATAAGGGTTTTTATTTGGTTAAAAATTGTGAATAAGCTGTTCATGTACTTTGGATCATTTGTCATTATCAAGAACCATGTGGTGTCTGTCTGAAAGGCAAAATTCTTTTGGCTACCTGTTGGTATTTTTTAGATAGTTGAAACTTTAAAATGGTTCATATAAGGATAGCATAACTGCTCCAAAAGGACCCCCCCCTCAAAAAAAAACTTATGATAGTCGAGCTTCTGTGTTTGATGATTTTCATTTTGCACTCAAGAGTAAACTTTGGTATTGAGTACACTGTTAAATGCAAATCCAACATTACAAAAATAAGTAATGGAACTGATTTTATTTTTATTTTATTTTATTTTTTTTTTACCCTCTGTGAATCTGGATTGCTTCAAGATAAGGCTATGGTCTGTCCCCCTGGTGGTGTATAATGAGTCCACACATCTGCAAAAGAAGGCTAATTAACACTGACCAGAAGATGACAATCCAACCTGTGGGTGTTTTTGAAAAACAAATAACTCAGTAAACCACTGTAAATTTTTTTTTTTTTTTCTTTTCTCTCCCTCAAGGCAACCAGTCTTTATAATTATAATGCGCCATATCAAAATATAGAACAATAATCTTCTAATTGCCATGTCCTTTAAGAACATTGGCGATTATGGCTCTCCACAATTTCCTGTCTGTAGCTCTTACTAAATTGTCTTTTTGCTATCTCTCCTAATCCCTATTCCACCATCCATTTACACAAGCTTGTTAGGCAGGGGTTATGCATTGTTTTCCTCTGTCTTTTTTTTTTTTTTTTTTTTTTTTTACCTTTAATATGTCCTGTGAGTGTCAAATTTTTTAAGCCTTCTTTCCTTATTAGAAATTTCAACTATTTCTTTCTGATGTCAAGTATGTGTCAGTTTTGTTTCCATTTTCTCTTAAAAAAAAAAAAAAAAAAAAATTGGCACTGCTCACATGTTCAGTCCATGATAGTTTCAGCATCCTTCTGTAGAATGACATTTCTGTTGCTTCAAATCTTTTCTTCATCTGTGATAAGTTTGTCTCTCATTCACTGCTATACAGAAAGGCACATAATAGATTAATTCTGTTCACTTATCTTTTGGGTGTCTCTTCACCAAATTACGTCCACTCTTCAGGAGACTAGAATGTGTGCATGTGTAAAAAAAAAAAAAAAACAAAAAAAAAAACATTTAATTCCTCTTTGACACTAGCCTCTCCAAACTAATGAATGACAGAATATGTGAGTGAACAAAACAAAACATAAATTTACCAAATATTACTTCATTAAATTAGCTAGGCCATTCAGAAAGCCAAACAGTCTGCAATTTGCTCGTTACTGGAGTTTGCACATAAACCGTAAGCCAGTGATTTCCAGACGTTTTTCTCTGAGCTGCATTTTCAGAATGGAAATTTGCTTGCACTTCACCAAATTTTATGTGATGAAAGTACATCATACTTATTATAAAACCCAGGTTGTGTGTGTGTCTGTACGTTTATATATTGGATCGGATTTCCTACATCTTTCAACTGATTTCAACAAAACTTCACAGGACTACATAAAATTACCTTGCGGTGGTTCTGACAGTGCCAAAAATTGGAAAAACACAATTGTTTTTGCATGAAATCAATTTGAAAATACAATTAAGAAGCATCGCAAGAATGAAAGAGGGACAACTCATATCGAGTTATACTTAAAACCCAGGTTGTGTGTGTTCATTTATATATGGAATCGGATTTCCTACATTTTTCAACCGATTTAAACAAAACTTCACTTTTTTTTTTTTTTTTTTTTTTTTTTTTTTGGCAGGTAGTGTTTCTTATTGCCTTGCACACTTTTTTCTTTATTTTTACATTCAGAATGCTTTAAAAATTCCATTTACAAGACAATTGTTTATAATAAAATTCTATTCAATCGGTAGACTCATAACGATTGAAAACAATGTTTTTGTTTGAGTTGGGATTTGACCAATTCGTAAAAAGAAAAAACAAAACAAAAAAAAAACTAAGACGTGTGTCCGTCAACCTTAAACAATAATCTTTGTCAATTTTATTTTTCAGTCTTTATGATGGTCGATACTTGATCTATCTCTTACTGTTACATCCCCGGGCAATGCCAGGCTCTACTGCTAGTTTAAAAATAAAAAACAGTGAGGGTGTTAAAGGGAGATAACTGCAGATTCAAAGTCAAAACATTATCATTGATAACTCTCTCCTCCAATTTGTGGATCCTAGTTACTATATTTTTAATATAATGCAGAAATATTACAATGATAAAGCTGCTCAGTAATTATAACTATTCATACTTGTGCAGGTAATTACAAGTAATCCACAATATTTTAAATTTTGAAATCCATTTATTTTTGGCATAGGAATGTTTTGAAACTGTTTATATATCATCTTTCAATCATTCCGCTTCATTTGCTATCCTGTATGAGGTGTGCCACACCATTTGGGAATCACTGCCATAAGACCAACTCTTGTAGGTATAAAATAGCTTAGTTCACCAACAAGTCTTTCTGGGCTAATTCTCTATATCTCTCCCTCGTTGTTTGTTTTTTTTTTTTTTTTTTTTTTTGAATCGGTCCATTTACATGTTCCTCGTATCCTGTGTGGAAGTAGGTGTCTGCTTTAGCGTACAAACAAACTCTAGTTTTATTTTTATATCAGCTATTTCAATTTTATCTGCTTCTGAATATCCTTTCACATGTCATTTGCCAATGCAACACATGCACATCCACACTGCCCCCCCCATCCTTGCAAAAAAATAAATTGGCATCTGTCAGCATTTTTATCAAAGGCCTGTAATTCTTATATTTCCAACCCCTTCTGGCATTTCCTAAGAATTGGTCTTTCTCTAATTTGAACATTTATAAATATATAGATAGGATGTGCAGTTAGCATAAGTTATTGATGTAGATTATGGAAACACCAAACCGAGTTGATGTAACCATAAGTTCTCTGCTAACAATTTCTTTTCTCACTTGTGGAA